CTTTTCATCTTGTTTATAGTTTCCTTTGCTGTGCAAAAGTTTTTAAGTTTCATTAGGCCCCATTTATTTTTGTTTTTATTTCCATTACTCTAGGAGGTGGGTCAAAAAAGATCTTGCTGTGATTTATGTCAAAGAGTGTTCTTCCGGGCTTCCCTGGTGGTGCAGTGGTTGAGAGTCCGCCTGCTGATGCAGGGGACACGGGTTCGTGTCCCGGTCCGGGAAGATCCCACATGCCACGGAGTGGCTGGGCCCGTGAGCCATGGCTGCTGAGCCTGCGTGCCCGGAGCCTGTGCTCTGCAACAGGAGTGACCACAACAGTGAGAGGCCCGTGGGTGTTAGGGAGTGTTCTAATTTCATTCTTTTACATGTAGCTGTCCAGTTTTCCCAGCACCACTTATTGAAGGGACTGTCTTTTCTTCATTGTATATCCTTGCCTCCTTTGTCATAGATTAGTTGACCACAGGTGCATGGGTTTGTCTCTGGGCTTTCTATCCTGTTCCATTGACCTATATTTCTGTTTTTGTGCCAGTACCATATTGTCTTGATTACTGTAGCTTTGTAGTATAGTCTGAAGTCAGGGAGTCTGATTCCTCCAGCTCCATTTTTTTCCCTCAAGATTGTTTTGGCTGGATCGTGTATAGTTGATTGCCTTGTCTCCGTGGGTGTTTTTGTCTTTGTATATGAGCCCATGTGGATGTCCGTTTGCAGGGGATTAACTATTTGTGACTTTGGTCCTCTGGACTCAGAGCATTGGCTTGAGAGAGTGTGGGTGGCAGTGGCAGTGAGGGTCACTGGGATTTCCCAGGACCTACATGGGGGTCATGAGACACTCCTCAGAGCTACAGCATCCAGGTGGGATCCAGTGAAGCTGGGGAGGGTGTCAGAGAAGGTGGACCAAGAAAAAAAGGGGGACATTTGTTGCAGGCCCATTGCTCATCAAGCTGGGGGGCTGACTCAAGTGCTTTCTCCAGCAGTTCAGGGTGCTGGGACAATTGTCCCCATTAAACTGATAAAGATACTGAGACTCTGAGAGGCCCGAATCTAATTCACACCCTGATTTCTATGGGCATAAGGTTTACGAGTCCAGGCACCACAGCACCCCCATGTGGTGAGCCACAGGCAGCTCACACACATCCTGGCCCCAGGAGCTCTGCATCTTCCCTCTGCAGCCTCCCCATTGCAGAAGAGGCAGCTCCATCTTCCAGGTGCTTATCCCCAAACTCTGAAGTTGGCCTTGAATTCTCTCTCTTGCTATATACCTGACCTGTTAGCCCCTCCTGATGGCTTCACCTTCCCAGTGTAACTATTGTCCCAACCAGCCTCCTTCCCTTCACAGCCTCCACCCAATCCAGCCTCCACCATCTCCCACCTGCAGTCCCCTCCTCTCTGGTTTCCTGTGGCTTCCATTCCCCGCTTCCCACCCACCCCCCGCAGTCTGTTTTCCCCTGAACAGCCTGAGGGCACCTGTTGACACTTAAGCCAGACCATGTCCCTCCTCCGCTCACAATCATCCATGGCTCCCACCTCACGCAGAACAAATGCCAAACTCTCCTCTTGGCCCATGTACTCCATCCCTCGTTGTTTGCTCAGCATCTCAGTTCTACATTGACTATTCTTCACTTCCTATTCTACATTTCATGTGCTATGTTTTCTGTTCTCCATTGGACATTCTTCCTTGTCTATTCTCCATTGGGTGAATCCACATTCTGTCCTACACTGGATATTCCATTTTCCCTGATCCTCACTGGACACTCCCTATGTTTGTTTATGCTAATGTTCCACAACCTCTGTCTACACTGAGGTCCACACTCTCATTCCACACTGTTTCATTCTATGGTGCTCTCTAAAATGCATCTCTATGGTGCTCTCAAAAATGCATCTCTCAGATCTCTGACTCCCATCATCATGTTCGTACCCAGGCCATACTTCCCATGGTGCTTCCAACCAGTGACCGAGCCCCTGGGAGACTTGGAACCCATCTGATAGTGGCATTGGCCCTGGCCAACATCACCATGGTGTCCTTAGAAAGACTAGCAGTAGGACACTTCCACACAACCCTCCTTGCTTCCTCCTCCACACAGCCAGCAGGGGCAGAGATAGGATCTGGACCCAGAGGCCTTTCCAGAACCTAGTAGCATGTCCACTGTCCCCTTATGGCCCAGAGCACCTCAAGCTGTACATGTATAGTCACACACACATGACATGTGACACAGCCCTTTTTGGTTCCCCAGGCTCATAGACTAAAAACATGGGGCAGACTCCCTGGAAGCCAAGATATATTTTATTTGCTTATTCTTATTTCCACTTTATTTTAAAATTTTGACTGGGGAGTTCAGAATCCAAAGGGCACTACTGGGCGCCACCTAACGGCAGATGGTGAAAGTGCAGCCTCCCAGGGATGAGGACACAGAGCCACACCAAATGGCCCTGGGGCTCCCCAGTGTTTGAATGCAACATTTTTTTTTTTTTTTTTTTTGCGGTACGCGGGCCTCTCACTGTTGTGGCCTCTCCCGCTGCGGAGCACAGGCTCCGGACGCGTAGGCTCAGTGGCCATGGCTCACGGGCCTAGCCGCTCCGTGGCATGTGGGATCTTCCCGGACCGGGGCACGAACCCGTGTCCCCTGCATCGGCAGGCGGACTCTCAACCACTGTGCCACTAGGGAAGCCCCTCTCCCCAGCGTTTGAAAGCAGCCCACATTTTTATGAACTCCACACTCGGCACTTACTCTGTGGGCACTGACTTCAGAGACTGGCCCACCTTCTTATCCACAATGTGGGTAAGATCCAGAGGCTGAAAAAGGGGCCCTTTCTGGACATGCCTCAGTTTCCCCCAGAGGACCTGCTGCCTTGGCCTCTCTCCTCCTCCCAAGTCCCTGGTCCTGCGTCTGGTTGTATGGGGAGCTGTGACTGCGACACTGCGGGGGACCACCAGGTTGACGGTTCATCCACCCCATGTGCCTGGCAGGGTCCTTGTGACCTGAGGAAGGGGATCTCCAGAAGGGTAACCCAGTTGGAGAAAGTTGCACCTGCGTGGTGACCGTGGTGCATGTGGCAATGGTGCTGCTGGGGTGGCAGGGGCTGTGTGTTCAGCTGGATCCCCAGAGGCTACTGTCATAGGCTGGGGTGGAGACAATGCCTCACCCCTCCTCTGAGGGTGGGAAGGGACAGAAGGCAGCAGGTGGGGAGGATTTAGAACCTGAATCTGAGTTGGGTGAGAGAGCTGTCCAGCCTAACTTAAACACTCCACAGAGGCCTTGAGCTCACCCTACACACTCTGTATTCTCCGCAAGTTTCCCCTAAGAGGGGGCTGCGAGTTGCCCATGAAACCCTTTACCCCACATCCGAGCCATCTGCAGGTCCTGGTAGCTCTACCTCCAAACACACCCTGGAGTCTCCCTCCACTGTCCCTCAGCCTCCTGCCTCTTTTGTTCCTGGACCCCACCTCCACCTCACGCCACAGAAGCCCCAGGAAGGGAGGCTTTCACAAACCTTGATCGTGCCATGTTTCTCCCCTGGAAACTAGGGCTCCAAAGCCCCAACTTCACGGGGGATGAAGGTGTCGAGGACCAGGAAGATTGGAGGACAAAGTCCAGGCTGGATCTGGCATAGGAATGGTGCTATATATATGGCTGTTCAAGCAAGTGCGCTCACGTCACAAAAAATGGTCTGGCACTGTACACATTTTCCCCTCTCTCCCTACCCGTCAAAGGAGTCCACCGAAAGTCTTGGCTGGGAAGGGGGACTATAGGAGAAAGGGAGGCGACTGTTTGCGAAGGCTGCACACATTTTTGCCTCTGTATCCACATCCAGGTCTGTGTGCGCTAATGGTGGAATGCAAGGCATTGAATTTTACTGAAAAAGTCCTCTGTGGAGGGCTGGGGTGACAGGGGACAAGGGTCTTGAAATTATTGGTCAAGCTGACTCGCCCACAGCCAAGCTGGAGCAATCAGCTTTGGACCTTTGTAGAATGATGGTGGGGTAGGGGCATACAAATCTTATAAACACTGATACCAACACCGTGTGTTTTTCACATTCTCGTCCAGATCGGTGATCTCCACTAAGCAGACCCTTTGAGAATTGTCAGAGCCATTTCTCAGCTTGGGGCAGTGAGAGGGCTTCCTGCAGGAGGGGTCATGGAGCTAGGCCTTGGAGGGTAGGAAGCAGTCTAAAAAGGAGGCCAGTTGGGGGTTGCAGGAGGTGGCCCAGGAGGAAGGACCAGCATGGCCCTAGCTTGGAAGAGCAAGTATTTCTAAGGGCCTCAGGGCAGGAGACAGAGTGGGTGAGGGCAGCTGAGGAGCTCAGGAAGGTCAGGGGACAGATCTGAGTGTTATAAAGATCCCACTGAGACCACCTGGGGGGTGGTTGGAGGGGAGGAACAAATGGAACTCCCTCTGGCTCCCTCCTGGACCCCCAAGTCTGCCCTTACACAGGACAGGCCGAAGTGGAGGGCGTTTGCACCACCCCAAAGTGGGTGGATAAACGCCTGGCTCCCTCCTCCCTCCGGTGGAAATCGTTGGGTCAAGAGATCAAGGGATATGCCCATTTAAAAGATGAAGAGTGCAGTGGCCGCTCCAGCGCTCCCATAGCCCAACATTCACGGTTCCCCACTGCCTCTTGCTGCAAGCGATTGCAACCCAGCCTGAGCCCTTGACCCAACACCCTCAGGAGCTGGAGCGTAAATAGCCCAGCCCATCACCACTGGGGTGGAACCACTCTAGGTGCCCACTCTATGCGGTGCCCTAGGGCCCCCAGCGGGCTGAGCACGGCGTCACCTGCTCGTTGGCGCCCCCTCCAGGGCTCCTCCCCTTACGTCCCCGTCCCCCCCAACTCCGACCCCGCTTCTCCCCCCCACCCCCTTTCCCAAGCAGCACTGGAGTCCTCCTCTCAGGGTCAGGTTCTGGAGTGGTTATCCAAGACACGACAAGGCAAGATTGAGGCCGCTGGGGAAGAGATGGGAGGACCCGGGAGGGGGTGTGGCTCTGAGCAGCGACGGTTTCGTTCACGGATGCCCCGTGTGTTTTATTGATGGATACACACACACGGGAAGGGGGAAAGGAGCACCCCAACCTTGGATCCGAACAAGGCTTTCCCCCCTCCAGGCCCCTGCCGCGGAGAGGGTCGTAACTGCTAGGTCTTCTCCAAGGACACAGGGAGGGAGGTTGGAACCCCACGTGCCCTCACCTCGCCTGGTGTGAGGGGCAGAATCGGTGCCACCCCCGGGCCTACTACCGGGGCCAGCCGTCGGTAGTGGGCAGCCGGCGCAGGGGGGGCCCAGGCCGTAGGGGCTCTGCCAGGGGCCGGGCCAGGAGCAAGGGGTAGGGGAAGGCCTTTGGAAAGTCGCCGGGGCCTCCAGGGGCCGGCGAGAGGCGCTCGGACTTGATGCTGACTGGTGGGGTGGGCGAGGAGGCGCCGCGGGCTGGAGGGCCTTCCTCGCCCAGGCTGCGGCCCCCACTGCAGGGAGAGAGAGAGAGAGGAGCGGTGCCGTGAGCTCAGCGAGGGAAGCCATGGAAGTGGCATGGCTTGGGCAAAGATTGGGCAGGAGGACCTTGGGAAAGGAGGGGGTGGCGATCCCTCTTGGGGCCTCCAAAATAGCCGCCCATCCCCACCAGGACCAGTAGGGAGGGGCTAAGTGCAGAACCGGGAGTGGCCACCAGGGGTCAGCAGTGGCTGGGGCTTGGAAGACTTGGGGGAGCCCCACCCGTGAACCCGGGGTGGGAGGGAGCGTGCAAGGAGGCAGTCGGGGCACTTACCTGGGCTGGGCGGGGGTGACCGGGGGCCCATCACCCCTGGAGGGCTGCCAGGGGGCCAGGGTGGGGGGCTGCAGCAAGCCTGGGGGCGGAGGGGGGTCTCCCAGGCCATATTCTGGGGGGGGGCAGGAAGAGTAAACTGAGGCCCTGACCTCAGGGAGCCCCTTGCCCAAGCCTGACCCACCCCACAGGCCAGTTTTCAGTTCTGGAGGGCGGGGGAGTGTGGACCCCCAGCAGGCAGGTGTGTGGACACCTCCCACAGCGGGTGCATACCTGGGGGACCTGCAGGGAGGAAGGGGAAGCTCCCTAGTGGGGGTCCTGGGGTGGCAGTGGAGCACGGACTCTGCAGGCTACCATAGAGGCCTCTCTGTGGAGAGACAGGGGAAAGGGGAAACTGAGGCCCACACCCAGGCCACCCTGCCCCCACAGCCCTTCCACACCTTCCCCTCACTCACCGAGGTGCTCAGTCCCCCTCGGGCCCCAGCCAGGCCACCAGGCAGGTCTGGCCTCCTCCCATCCACTGCCAGGTACAGGGGCGGTGGTGTCTTGCTGCCAAGGTGGCTTGCTGAGAAGAGAGGGTGCGCAAGGCCTGGGGAGCAGGAGACCCCCAGAGAGAGGGCAGGTGGCCATGTCATCTAATGGAGTCTGAGGTCCAGAGTGATGCCCACAGCCAAGCAGGGCCAGAGCCAACATTCCCACCTTGCACAGCCCCCCTGGGACCACCACCCCTCCTCCCCCAGGGCCTATGCCCCATGCTCACCTGGGGGGCCAGCTTTAGGGGCTCCTGGACGGAAGGGGGATGGGCGGCTCTGGGCAGGCAGGGCCTCCCCAAGCCCACTGGGGTCGCAGCCTGGTGGGGGCAGGGCCCCATATGCCATGTCAGGGCTGGGCATAGTGGGAGCTGCTGGCTGAGGGCAGAGAGGACAGGATTGGCTGAGGAATGTGGAAATGAGGGCATCAAGTCCAAGACAGAAAATCCCAATGAGTTCAGTCGCCAGCCTCCACCTTCTGTAAGTCCTCACTACTCCTCCCTCTGGCCTAACGCCACATGGCTGGGGGAGCCTGTGTCTGCCTCTGTCGCTCCTTGACAGCTAGGCCCAGAGCTGAGGCTTCTTAATCAGCATAGGGTTGACCCTGAGGGGGCTTCCCAGGGTGTTTGATGAATCAAAGAAAGGAAGGAACTGGGACTTCCCTGGTGGTGCAGTGGTTAAGAATCCGCCTACTAGTGCAGGGGACACGGGTTCAAGCCCTGGTCCCCGAAGATCCCACATGCCACGGAGCAACTAAGCCCGTGTGCCGCAACTACTGAGTCTGCATGCTGCAACTACTGAAGCCTACGTGCCTAGAGCCTGAGCTCTGCCTCAAGAGAAGCCACTGCAATGAGAAGCCCATGCACCACAACGAAGAGTAGCTGCCGCTCACAACTAGAGAAAGCCCACGCACAGCAACGAAGACCCAATGCAGCCAAAAATTAAAATTAAAATTAAAAAAAAAAAAGGAAGGAACTGTCTGCCTGTTGAACTCTTTTCCATCCTTCAAAGCCCCTGCTATAATGCCCACTTCTCCAGGAAGCCTTCTCTGCCCACCCAGGCAGAAACCTGACCCCAAATTCTAGGATTCCTGGTCTTAAGTCTCTCTCTCAATCTCGGCCTCAGCCATTTGGACCTCAGAAGTGGGGGAAGGGCCCCATTCATGGCGGGGCAGGGAGTCACTTACGTAGAGCCGGGGCCGGGGCAAGGCTGGGTCACCCCCATCACCTGCCAGCCTCCGCAGCTTCTCTCCTGGCCCCTCAATCACCTCCTCTGGCTCCAGCTCTTGTCCATCAAGGCCCACGCCCCTCCGCTTCAGTGTCTGTGGAAGGGGGAGACAATAGGGTGACACTCCCCCCATCCTGGCCAAGGAACCTGGTTCTACGGGAGAGGGGAGGACCTATCCCATTCAGCTCTGTGGGCAGGCAGGGTGCAAGCACAGCCTGCTCCAGCCAAATCCTATTAACCAAAAACCCCAGTGAGTTATCACCTAGTAAGTTCCAACTGTGTGTGAGAGAGGGACTGTCCTGCCCTGGGACCAGAGAGGCCCGGGTCACACAGTAGAGGCCGAGATGCACCCAGGCCTGCTGGGATTATCCTAACACTGCTTCTGAGTGTGATTCAGTTCCTCCATTCTGCACCCATGTGCAGCCTCGGAGCCTGGCGTGCAGTAGGTGCTTAATAAATGTCAGCTGACTGAGCACCTGAGGACAACTTTATAGGTTCTCCTAAGCTGCCACCCACATAGGAGCAGTGACCAGCACACTCCTGAACCCCTGCCTCTCCTGTGCCAGCTTCTCCCCACCCTCTGCCACATTGGGGCTTCCTGGATGCAGTCCTAGCCCGCTGCTCTCTCCAGCCCAGTGGCTTTAGCTTCCCGCCCTGGGTAAAGATGCCCACATCCAAAGTGACAGTGATCTTGCCCATCCTGGGTCGTGGGTGTGAGGGCTGCCCAGCTAATGCAGGGGCTGCTCCTGCCTCTTTCTCCTGAGGATACAGCAGCTCAAGCAAAAACATTCCTGGGGCTTCCCTGGTGGCGCAGTGGTTGAGAGTCTGCCTGCCGACGCAGGGGACACGGGTTTGTGCCCTGGTCCGGGAAGATCCCACATGCCGTGGAGCGGCTAGGGCCCGTGAGCCATGGCTGCTGAGCCTGCGCGTCCGGAGCCTGTGCTCCGCAACGGGAGAGGCCACAGCAGTGAGAGGCCCGCGTACCACACAAAAAAAAACATTCCTGGACCTCAGTGAGGTCTGTTTGCTTTGTGGTACCTTTTCTTCTCTGTGTCTGTACTCACCAAATGGGTAACAGGAGCAAATGAGATGATGTGTGTGAGGGGCACATAGTGGGGCCCTCGATGTTTTTTATTTCCACTATCCAGGAAGTTGCCCCTAAAAGGGACACTCTATTACCCCAAACCTGCTTTGACTAGCAGCAAAGCCAAATTGCAACGCTCATCTTTTGTGCAAACCAAGAGTCCCTAGGCTCTGAGTGAGCAGAGTGTGCTGGGCTTCATGAGGCCAGGGAGGTGGGTCCCAGGGGTACCTCGAGGATGTCGGTGTTGGTGCGGCTCTCGTGAGGCTCACTGTACTCTGTGTACTTCAGTAGCACATGGTCCATGTCCGTGCTGGCGTACTGGAAGAGGCGGTTGGCGCTATTGAAGATGATGAGGGCGATCTCACAGTCGCAGAGTACACTTAGCTCATAGGCCTTCTTCATCAGCCCAAACTTCCGCTTGGTAAATGTCACCTGGACCCAGGACCCACAGGCGGGGCAGGAGAAGACAAAGATTTGGGATGGTGAGAGGGGAGGTGGAGGGGCCTAATTGTTGCCTGAACATGCCTCGTGATTCCATGCCTTTGCATGTGCTGTTCTTTCTGGCTATACTACTCCTTCTCACTTCTTAACATGGCAAACTCCTATCGATGCTTCAAAACCCAGCCCAAATGTCCTCTCCTTTGGTAAGTTTACCTTGGCCTCCAGGCAGAGCCCACACTCCCTCTCTGAGCTTCCCCAGTTCTGTGTCTCTCTCTGGTCCAGCGCTTTGAGTTGGGTGTATTTGTATTGAGTTCCATCTCCCCTGTGACTGGGGCTCCAGTCATCAAGGGGAATCAGTGAATTAATCATCATGAGAATGAGTAAAGGCTACATCTCAAACTCCTGACATTGCATCAAGTCTCCTTATTCCCTTGCAGTTCTCCCAGATGGCCAGACCTTTGCCCAGGCCATGTCCCCTGCCAGGAATGCCTTTCCCCGAACCACTGGCCCACCCACTGAACTCACCTGCCGATTCCTTTGGTCCAGAATGCGTGAGATCTGAATTTTCTTCCTCCCCATTGTCCCAGGCTGGGTGGAGTGTCCTTGGTCTGGGGGTTGGGGGGGGGAGGAGAAGAGGACAGAGTAGGTAGGTGGAGAGTGGGGACAGGCACCCCAGTCTACCCCCATCTTCCTCCTGCCCCTGCCAGGTGCTGAAAGGGAGATGATGGGGGAGATCAAGGCAGGCTGGGTCATCCCCACAGCCCACACCCTCGACCAGCCCAGGATGCAGCAAATGCTCATTGAACACCTTCAGACCAATGTTTTATAAGGAGAAGGCTGACCAAGGGGGAAAGATTGAGAAGTATGGGTGCCCCCACCTGAAGCTTTAAAGCAAAACAAGCTGGTAACTGTGGGACCTAGAGGGAGACTGACCCCGTGTCTGTGCAGCGGGGATAACAGTGTGGTGCATTGCCCAGTGCTGCTGGAGCATAAAATGAGCTAACCCACAAAGGGCATTCAGATCTGCCTTGCAGACGGCAGGTGCTGTGTATGCACTGCTGTTACAAATACTGGCGACAGCTTAAAAGTTCTCGATAGGCCAGGTTGGAGGGCCATCCAGTGCTGGTACCCAGCGGTGCTCAGTGATCCTGAGCCTCTGAAAGTAAGCCTGGTCCACACAGCAGACACTTTTGAACTCATTCAGTCCCACAATAGCCCTTCGATGAGCAAGGTTGAGGGCTGTGGTTACCAGAAAACATATATTAAAAATATATAAAACATATATTTAAAAACTGTATTGAGGGGCTTCCCTGGTGGCGCAGTGGTTGAGAGTCCCCCTGCCGATGCAGGGGACGCACGTGCCCCGGTCCGGGAAGATCCCACATGCCCCGGAGCGGCTGGGCCCGTGAGCCATGGTCACTGAGCCTGCGCGTCTGGAGCCTGTGCTCCGCAGCGGGAAAGGCCACAACAGTGAGAGGCCCGCGTACCGCAAAAACAACAACAAAAGAAAAACTGTACTGAGAGTGGAAAAAAGACTAGAAGGAAATGCTCAATCTGGGAGTCAACGCTGGGTGGAAATTTATGGGTGAGTTTTTTCCCGATTTTAAAAATTGAGATGCAATTCACATAACATAAAACTCGCCATTTTAACGTGTGCAATTCAGTGGCATTTAGAGCATCCACGACGTTGTACAACCATCACATCTATCTACTTCCAGAAAATTTTCATCCTCCCAAAAAGAGACCCCAGCCCCATTAGCAGCCACTCCCCATTCCCCTCCCCCCAGCCCCTGGCAACCACTAATCTATGTTCTCTCTCTATGGATTTGCCTGTTCTGGACACTTCTTATAAATGGAATCATACAATGTGTAGGCTTTTTGTCTTTTTTTTTTTTCCTTTTTGATCTTTTGAATTTTCTAACGTTTCTCCCTCAGTGATTATAGATTTCTATTTTAAAAATGGTGTGTGTGGGGACTTCCCTGGTGGTCCAGTGGTTCAGACTCCACGCTTCCAGTGCAGCGGGCGCGGGTTCGATCCCTGGTCGGGAAACTAAGATCCCACATGCTGCGTGGCGTGGCCAAAAAATAAAAATAAAAATAAAATAAAAAGTTGGCGGGAAGCATAAGAGAAACCCTATCCCTGCCCCACCATCCAGCGGGAGGAGGGGGGAATGCCCTGGAAAGACTTAAGCTTGGAACCCTCAGACTGGGGGATGGGGTGGGCCCAGGCAAACTGGAGAGAAACTCTGGAATCCTCCTCATGGGGATCTTGGATCTCCCTGGTGGGGGCCCCAAGGGTGAGAATGGGCAGCTCAGTGAGGGCAGCATGTACCCAAGACACGGTCCAGGACTTTCCCAGCAGCCCTCATGCAGGACTCCTTGGAATCAAGGAATCATGTTGCCTGTTCAGCGGCACCCACCCCACTGTACAGACAGCCACTCCATGGCCCCCGAGATCCCCTCTGCCAACTCTATGACCACACTCCACTCCCCCCGGCCTCCCATGTCATAGGTGGTTGAGGCCTGCCCAGGGTGAAGTGGGCCTGCTCTCAGGTCTCAGCCAGCCCCTGAACAGAAGAGCGGTCTTTAGCAAGGGAGGCCTCTCCCTCGGCCTCAGTTTACTGTTCTGTGAATGGGGTGGGTATGAAATACAGCGTACCTGGCACAAGGCCTGGGAATGAGCTCTTGGCAAGTATAGGGAAATGTAGGCCTGTCTCTGGGAGTAGCCATACCTGCTTCCCACACCCCAGCCCGAGGGGTCTGAGCAGGGTACCTCATCTTCCCACAGACCCAGGGCTGGAAGTATGAAATGCCCCAGTCTGTCATATGCGGCTCGCTGTGTGACCCCAGACACACCCTCCACCTTCTCTGGGTTGGGTCTCTGAGCGGTCACAGCTATGCAAATCCCAGGCCAACGAAAGCCCCCATCTCAGCCCCCCAGCTCCAGCTTGACTTGCTAAATTTAACCTCTGAGGCTAATTTTAATCGCCGGCTGGAATCAGGCTAGTTCCCACGGCTGGGGTGCGTTATCCCCGCCCTGACAGGTCCCTGGGGACAGAAGGAGGGCACTGGCCGGGAGGTCTCGGTGCCAAGATGATTCAGGAAATGCCCCCCACGCCTGGGGTCCCATGGGAACATGGGACTTGGACATGAGTCTCTGGGCCTGGAAGATCAACTCTGGCCTCTTCTCAATCTGTCCCCATTTTAGACAAGGACATCCTGGTTAGGGCAGGGTTCACATAATGGGGGAGCCCCAAGAGTCAGAAGGTCAGGGGGGGTTTCTCTGAACTGAGACCCAAGAACCAGACAGGAAGTAAGTTCCAGGCAGGAGTGGCAGGTGCAAAGGCCCTCAGGAGGGAGGAGATGCACCAGTAAGACTGGAGTGAGGGGAGGGTGGGAGGGAGGGAGACGCAAGAAGGAAGAGATATGGGAACATATGTATATGTATAACTGATTCACTTTGTGATAAAGCAGAAACTAACACACCACTGTAAAGCAATTATACCCCAATAAAGATGTTAAAAAAAATAAAAAAATTTAAAAAAACATGCTATCTGAACAAAAAAAAAATACTGGAGTGAGGAGGCCAGCAGGACAGGCTGCAGAGGCAGGGCCACTCCGGGTCCTCTGAGCTGCAGGGAGGCCTGTGGGTTTTGGTCTAAGAGCAGTATACAGCCGTGGGAGGGCTTTGAGCAAGAAGGCACACGACTTTTGGGGCTTCCCTGGTGGCGCAGTGGTTGAGAGTCTGCCTGCCGATGCAGGGGACACGGGTTCGTGCCCCGGTCCGGGAAGATCCCACATGCCGCGGAGCGGCTGGGCCCGTGAGCCGTGGCCGCTGAGCCTGTGCGTCCGGAGCTGTGCTCCACAACGGGAGAGGCCACAACAGTGAGAGGCCCGCGTACCGCAAAAAAAAAAAAAAAAAGGCACAGGACTTTAAAAACTTGGCCATGGCTGCCATGGGGAGCAGGACAGTTGGGGGCAGGGGTAGAGATGACAGGAAACTACCGGGAGGCCAGGGCTGTGTCCATCTGGGCAGAGACTGGGGATGAGGCCCCCTCTGTGCTATGCCTGAATCTTGCACTTTAAGTCACTGTACTCTAGGGCTCTTTGGGTCCTCTAGAAGCCACTAGGTCCTCTGCCATCTCTGGAGCCAGGCCGGACAGGTGAAGATGGACTTACACAGGGGTTTGAGTCTTCTGAACTTTGATGACCTTGGAGCCCCCAATCCTCACCCAGGAACCAAAGTCATCCCCTGCCCTGGTCCTTGAGGGATCTACCCAGCACAGAGCTGACCGCGTCCCTTCACTGTTCAAGCACTCCTCATGGCCCCTCACTGCCCTCAGGAAGAAGGAAGCTCCAGTCCTCAGCCTGCCATTCAAGGCCCTGCCCCAGGGACTCCCCTGGTGGTCCAGCGCTTAAGACTTCGCGCTCCCCAGTGGTTAAGAATCCGCCTGCCAATGCAGGGGACAAGGGTTTGAGCCCTGGTCTGGAAGACCCCATGTGCCGTGGAGCAACTAAGCCTGTGCGCCACAACTACTGAGCCTGCGCTCTAGAGCCCGTGAGCCACAGCAACTGAGCCCGAGTGCTACACCTACTGAAGCCCACATACCTAGAGCCTGTGCTCCGCAACAAGAGAAGCCACTGCAATGAGAAGGTCGCGCACCGCAATGAAGAGTAGCCCCCGCTCGCCGCAACTAGAGAAGGCCCATGCGCGGCAATGAAGACCCCACACGGCCAAAAATAAATAAATAAAAAGAAAGAAAAATATTAAAAAAAAAAAAAAAAAAGACTCTGCGCTCCCAATGCAGGGGGCCTGGGTTCAATCCCTGGCCAGGGAATTAGATCTTGCACACTGAAACAAAGATCCCACATGCTGCAACTAAGACCCGGCGCAGCCAAATAAACAAAATAAATTTTTTAAAAAGTAAGAAAGGCCCTGCCCCAATCAGCTCCTGCCCATCGTCCTCTACCTTCAACAAAATATCTCTGCCTGAAAAGCCCTTGTTGCCCCTTCTGCACCTGGCCAACTCCGATTCACATTTCAGAAACCTAGCTCAAAAAAATCCATTCCTCTGTGAAGCCCTCCCTGCCCTCACTCTGGTCTCCCAGAGCCTCCATCCATCCCCTCCAGTTCTGACTCTGTGGGGCTAAGGGGGTCGTATATCCAGCTCTCTCCCTCTCCCCAAGACTGGAAGACCCTCAGGACAAGTCAGAGGGGTGACTGGGAAGATTTGGTGAAGGGAGCAGGTCAACAGGGACACATCTGAACTCCCCCCAGCTTCCCTCAACAACTTCCTCTCAGACTCCCCCAGCTGACTCCCTACCCAGAAATACACAGGCATGCAAATCCAGCCACTCAGCGTTGACCTGCCTCAGGCCCAGGTGTGAAGGGCCAGCCAAGGAATGCGGAGGCAGGCGGAAGGCCCAGGGTGTGCATATATATTTGTACTCACATGCAAATCCCCACCCCAAGCAGCAGACAGACCTGGCGGCCCCTTCTCCAGATGTTGGCGTGACCAGAACTGCTGGGGGGAGGTGGTGGTGCGTGCTGAATCTGCAGGGCACGAGGGGGGAGGCTGAGGTTAGGGGAGTACTCTTCTGTGCGCATGTCCCCCCCACCCCCACCAATGTCCAGCTAGAAAGCAGAGAGCTTATGGCATCTGCCCAGCAGAGAGGCACAGGTGGATTCATCGACCCAGGAAAGGGAAGAAGAGTCAGGAGAAATCCAAGAGGACGTCTCAAAGGAGGAAGCATGTAGTTGGGCCTCAGTGGAAGGGCTGGATGGGGCCCTGAGCAGATGGACAAGGGAGTGGGCATTTGAAGTCAAGAGTCCAATACCTCCCACCCCTTTCTTTGCCCCCCATACTTGGCATTTATCAAGTGCCAACCATTGTGATAAACTGACCTCAAAAGTAGAAAGCTTAAGTAGACCAATGACCACAGAAGATTAGAAAAGTGACTTGAGACCTACCATTAAAAGGACAACAGGCCCCGACAGTTTTATGGTTATTTTATCAAGTCTTAAAGGACAGGAAAGTGAAATGTTCTTTAAACTACCTCAGACTTTTGAAAACAATGGGAACTGCCCAAGTCATTTTATGAAGCTCTTGTAGGTCAGAACCTAAGTCTAAAAAGAGAGAAGTATTGACCACGAAAGGGGCAATGTTAGAAGCCAGGGATTTCAAGGAAGATCTCTCTGAAGAGGTGACATCTGAACTGAGACCCAAAGCCCAAGAAAGACACAGCCAAGCAAAGGAAGAGTCAGTTGTGGGGAGATCTGGTGCAAGGGTGTTCCTGGCAGGGGGAACTGCAAGGGCAAAGGCTCAGAGTGATCATGAGTTTGGCATTTTGAAAAAAAGCAAAGAAATCTCTATGACTGGACAGTGCGAGCAAGGGAGAGAGGGGAGGGGACTGGTGGTGGGGAGAGTTGCGGCGCTTGGATCACATAGGTCCTTGTGGGCCACAGTGATGAGTGTGGGTTTTACTCTGAGGGCATTAGGGAGCCACAGAGAGAGTCTGGAGGCAGGGGAGGGTCAGGATATGATTTTACAGTTTAAATAATCCCCTTGTACTTCCATGCATTGCTGGTGGAAAAAGAAAGAAGTAGAGCCACTCTGGAAAACTGTCTGGCACCTACTAAAGCTGAACACGCATCTACCCTTTGACCCAGCGATGCTTCTCTTCAACATTCACCTAAGAGAAAAGTGTCCATGTTTTACCAAAGGACACAGACAAGAATGTTCTCAGCAGCCTCATTTGTCATAGCCCCAAATTGGAAACCACTCAAATGCCCTCAATGGGAGAACTGGTAAATGATTTTTGGTAGATTCTATGCAAGACTACTATACAGCACAGAAAAAAGGATGCATTCCACCTCCATGCCACCACACAGGTGAATCTCCCAGACCATGTGCCAGTTCAGCAATACTGGGCTCCATAGAGAGGACACACCATGTGATTCCATTTATATGAAGTTCCAGAACAGGCAAAACTCACCTACAGTGATGGATATGAGCACAGTGGCCACCTGGAGCAGGGACTGTGACAGGACAGCGGGAGTCCGGGGACTGGGGTGTCCTGTTCCCCGGGCCAGGACCTGGATACATAGGTGTGTTCAGTTTGTGCAAATTTTTTAGCCCTACTCCAATGATTTTTGCATTTTTCTCTATGTGATTTATCTCAACCAAAAGATATTTTTAAAAACCTCGTCCCTGGGGACTTCCCTGACCGTCCAGTGGTTAAGACTCCATGTTTCCATTATAGGGGTCATGGGTTCGATCCCTGGTCTGGGAACTAAGATCTCACATGCTGTGCGGCGCGGCCAAAAAAACAAAAACCAAAACAAAACCCAAAACAAAACCCAAAACAAACCTTGTCCCTAGCCATGGCTGCCATGAGAAACAGCATCTGTCTGCGCAGGAGCAAGGTGGCCGGGAGAGGCTGGGGCAGGTGTCTAGGTGGGAGATGTGGGGCCTGAACTGGGACGGGGGCTGCAGGTAGGCAGAAGAGGATGGATTGTTTGGCGACCAAGGGGACAGGACGTGCTGGTGGCATATGCCTGGGGTTGGGAGGGGGCCTGGGGTCCCAGGCCTGAGCGTTGTTCTGGAGGGGGGAACTAGGGGTACAAAGGAAGATTTCATGAGTGCCTGGAGCATCGTAAACTCTCTAAGGTGATACCTGTGGTCACTAAGTCCATCAACAAACACCACTGCAGTCCTTCAGGCTATGACTGTCATCTCTCTCTACGAGGTCTCTTAGCCCCCTGGTGATGGAGATGGGGGTCTGGAAGGAATCCCACCCTCCCACTGACCCTTCACTGCTGGCCTCTCCCTGTGGAAGGACTCAGTTTTCTCACCTGTAAATGGGAGCGAGAATCCTTCTCCCACCAGCTGGGGAGGAGGGGGCAGTGGAGGGATCTATCAACCTTGGCTTCTGGCCTCCCAGAAGCCAGAAGGGAGAGGGGCCTTGGAACTGAGGATGCTGAGTCAGCGTGCCATCTTGCAAGACCACAGTGACACTTACTGTGACACGCTGGGCAACATCAGACCCCTACTTCCTCCCCCACAAAATGGGTCACAGAATCCTGATATAAAAGGCTTTGCAGTGAGGTTTGAGAAAAGATCAGGAAGAGTCAAGTTCCCCTTCTTGCCTCCCAGTGGGGCTTTAATGGAGGGACAAGTGGCAAAGTCACGCTGCCAGACCCTTGGGCTCAGAGGCCTCAGTCTGGTGGGGGACCCAGGCCGGCGAGGAAAGGAGAGGAGGAAAGGAGAAGTGAGAGGCAGGTGGGTGGCCTGGGGGAGATGAGGGCCCGCGGGACGCGGCGAAGCGGGGAGGGGGCGCTGCTCCTGGGCCCTGCAGCAAATCAGGCCGGTGGCCCCGACTCATGCAACCCAGGCGGTGGTTTCATCACCTGCTCCCCAAGTACCTCATTACAGGCGACAGGAAGAGCCCCTTGGAAAGTCGGGACCCCCCCTCCCCTCTCTTGAGGGCTCCAGCGGCTCCCACCCCAGCTGCTGGCGGCACCCCTCCTCCCCGAGCCGGGGCCCTGGGCCGCCTTCTCCCCTGGGAGCCTGGGGAGATGGTGGCCCAGGTGGCGGCGGCGGGGGGGGGGGGGGGGGGGGGCGCACTGTGGGTGACCTAGGGGCTGGCTCAGCCCACAACAGCCCCTGGAGTCCCTCACCTGCCCTGGGGAGAAGGCGGGCTGTAGCAGTGGCTACTGTGCAACTAAACTTCTCTGGGCCTCAGCTTCCTACCCCAGAAGATGGGGAGGGTCGGCGACACCTCCCTGAGTTGGGGGGCTCTCTGGAGATAATATCGCCCTCTTTCTCTATGCAGGCAGCTTTTGCCATCACTGGGCCTGACCCCTCCCAGAAGGCCTTGGGGTCACCTCTCCTCAGCCCTGGGGTGCCCAGCTCAGAGTGAGGGCCCCGGGCAGACCCAGGAAGGGTGCTGGGGACAGGGGGTCAGGGAGAAAGCTCTTTCCTCCTACGTACACATGGGGGGGTTGGGAGATTCCCCTCGCAGGGAGACCCCCCCAAACACATGCATCACCCCCAACACCCACATACATAAGTCCCCAAAACACATGCGGTCCACAATACATGCAGACCCCTCAGACACACACAGAGTCCCCCAACACCGGCCGATCCCTCTAATGTACACAAACCCCCAATATATGCAGATGCCCCCAAACACACGACCCCCAACATGCAACCCTCCTAGACACACACAGAGCTCCCCAAACACATGTAGACTCCCCAAATCCATGCTAGTCCCCCATTATAAGCAGGCCCCCAGACACAGATAGGGCCTCTATCCCCTGCAGGGGTATTGCCCACCCTCTGGCTTCCTGAGGCAGGGTGGGAGCACCCCCCAGGGGAGAGATGTGGGTTCGGGGCTGGGGGTTCTGAGGGTGGGGTGTGAAGATCTCAGGGATCGCACGTACGGACACTGCATGGGGAACACAAGCTATGCTGGTGCAGGTGGCAGGGGGTTGAGGGGATCTTCGGGGTATTCCTGGGGACTGTGGGGGCCTGAGGGTGGGGTGTGTTACCCACGTGTGGCTCTGAATCCCAGAAACCCAGAATGTTCCAGCTGGAGGAGGCCCTTTGCGGGGGTCCCTTTGTTTATAGACCTCTCTGGCACTCATGGGGAAATGGAGGCCCAGTGGGGGACCCTCAGACCCACCTCCACAGACCCCTCCCCAGGCCTGCTCCATGAGCTGAAAGGTATGATGGCCTGGCTGTGGCTATGGGCACAGCCAGATGGGGGTATCCACTCCACTGTACACTCATTGCCTGACATGCTCCAAGCCTCAGTTTCCCCATTTGTACAATGGGCTCTGGGGGCGCCTCAGGCACTCACCCACCTGTTCCTCTACTTTAGACAGGCCTCATCTACCAGCAGATTCCCAGCTCACCTTCCGCCTCTTTCCAGGCACCTGAAACACCAGCCCCAGACAGACCTGCCACTTTCCCATTGCCAGGCTTTTGCCCCCGCTGTGCCCTCTCCCTGGAACGCCCTTCTCAGACTCACCCAGGTCTGAGACGCTGCTACATGTCCTTCAAGCCTGGGCAGAAATCTCTCTTTCTAGAGGTGCTAATTTCCCCAGGCCAGATTTCTCTTTCCCTGTGTCACTTAGTCCTACCAGATATTTTTGGTGCTTCTTTGTTACTTTCTTTGATGATCCTGTTGCCCCACTAAGATGTCCGTTCCACGAGGGCAAGGATGGAGCCTTCCCAATGCCCGGCACACAGTAGGTCCGCAATCACCCTTCCTTGAATGAATGAGCAAACAACTGCTTAACAAACGGAAGAAACATCGGCAACGGGTTCCGTTTTCTTTTAAATACCTCATGGTTCACAAAACAAACTTGAGGTCCCATCTGGCCCACAGGCCGCCAGTTTGAGGGGGCCCCTGCTCCCCCACCCCTCTCTAAACAGCCCACAGCACGACAGCCCACCGGATGGTGCTCATGCTTCTCTCAGGCCAAGGGGCTGACCCTCTGAAGGTTCCAGTGCCCGCCGTGGAAGGAAACTATGTCCCGGGGTCATGCAGGACCTGGCTGCCCTCACTGTCCACTGAAGGTCCTGCCAGGAAGGCCATTTTCTCTGTCATGGCCACTGCAAATGGCCTCCCATGGGGCTTGGGACTCCTACCCCTGGCGCTGAGAGAGATCGTACATTCAGAACCCAACTCTGCTATCTCACACAGGTCAGAGCCCTCGGCCACTGAAGGCCCCCAACGATGTCCCCTAAGCTGCAGTGGCAGCTGCAGGAACGACCCAAGGCTTCTCTCTCTCTTTGTTCCAAAGAAAGATCTCCCCATAGGGCCCCAGAAATTCATCCCCAGAGGCCCAGGCCTCCCAGCTTGGGGAATTAGCACATCTGTCAGAGCTGAGAGGAAGACACTCAGCCCATAGCCCAGCAGACCCAAGACGCAGCAGGTGGGGAACCCAAGATAGGGCCTTTGAGGCATCCCTGGTCCCCACTTTCTTCCCCAAGAAATGTCTGGGAGCTGACCAAGGTGCCAGGGACGCAAGGGCAGGGAGTGGACAGACCCGTCTGACCTTTCCCATTGCCCAGTCTGGTGGGGGAGACGGCAGACACGTAAACTGTCAGGGACAGAGCCCTCACCAATGAAATTCTATAGGGCAGGGGTCCCCAACTCCCGGGCTGCGGACCGCTACCGTCTGCAGCCTCTTAGGAACCTTGCTGCACAGCAGGAGGAGAGTGGAGGGCGAACAAACGAAGCTTCATCTGCCGCTCCCCATCTCTCACATTACCACCTGAACCATCCCCCCTGCCCCCAGTCTGTGGAAAAACTGTCTTCCAGGAAACCGGCCCCTGATGCCAAAAAGGTTGGGGACCACAGCTATAGGGGGAGGCAGTGGGGGAGGTGGCAGGGGAGGGAGCTGCTTTGGAAAGATGGGCCAGAAGGGACTTTTTGAAAAGGGGACCTCAAGGACACCAGCCATGAAGGGGTGTGGGTGAGAGACTGCCTGGTGGAAGGAATGGCAGGTGCAAAGGCCCTGAGGTGGGAATGTGCTGGGTGGGTTCCAGGTGCAGGCGTGGCTGGTATTGCCAGGTATGGGTGAACAAGGGGCATCTGGAGACAGAAGAGGGCAGGGAGGCTGCAAGGGGCCTTGGGGATCAGGGTGAAAGAGTGGGCTGTACAGCAATGGAGAATCATGGAGGGTGTATGAACGGGGGTGGGGGGGGTGGCTGTGGTGCAATTCAGGATTTTCAGCAGACTCCGTGGCTGCTGTGGTGAGAAGTCCTTTGGGAGCAGGAGGCCAGGACAGCGTCCAGTGGGAGAGGGTCGGGGCTCTGATTGTGGAAACTGGACAGAGGCAGGCCTGTGCCCACAGCAGTGACTCA